CAGAGAGAAGGGAGAGATAGAAACATCAATGATGAGAAAGAATCATTTATTGGCTAACTCCTGCATGCCCCCTACTGGGGATTGAGCTCAAAACCCGGGCATGTGCCCCTGACCAGAATCAAATCCTAGACTCTTCAGTCCACAGGCTGATGCTCTATTCACTGAGCCAAACCTGCTAGGGCTGAATATACATTTTTTGAGGACACCTTGTAGACTGTGGTCCAGTCATAACAATGGAACATCATACAGCCATTTGAAAAGGAGCGGGGGCCCTGACCGGTTTGGCTCAGTGGATTGAGCGTTGGCCTGCAAACTGAAGGGTCCCAGGTTCGATTCCGGTCAAGGGCATGTACCTTGGTTGCGGGCACATCCCTAGTGGGGAGTGTGCAGGAGGCAGCTGGTTGATGTTTCTCTCTCATCGATGTTTCTAACTCTCTATCCCTCTCCCTTCCTCTCTGTAAAAAAAAAAAAAAGAAAGAAAGAAAGAAAAGGAGGGGGGGGGGGGAAGGAAAACATGAATCTGAATGTGTGGATATGGAACAACTGCCAGAAAAAGTGCACAAAGGCAGGTGTAGGACAATGAGTCTAGTTTAAATATATGTGTACTAGAGGCCCGGTGCACGAAATTTGTGCACAGGTGGGGTCCCTCCGCCTGGCCGGCGATTGGTGCTGATCAGGGCCATCTCGCCCAGTTCCGATTGGGGCTGATTGGGGCTGGTGGCTGGGGAGGGACCATGGGAGGGCTCTGCAGGAGGGCTCCAGGGTGTGTCTGGCCTGCCTTGCCCAGTTCCAATCAGCCGGACCCCAGCAACAAGCTAACCTACTGGTTGGAGCATCTGCCCCCGGTGGTCAGTGAACATCATAGTGACCAGTTGGTCAACAGCTTGGTCGGACACTTAGCATATTAGGCTTTTATATATATAGATACACACACACACACACACACTTGTGCCTATCCATGGAAATTTTCTGGAAGACCATCAGGAACACTGATAATGGCTACCTCCATCTGGAGTAGGGAGCACTAAGGTGGAGATTCACTTTTCATGATGTAAACTCCCATACTGTTTAAAAAATGTGTGAGAGTGTGTGTGTGTGTGTGTGTGTGTGTGTATAATATAATATACTTGTATCACTTTTATAAGTTCTACTAACTTTCTAGGCAATGTTCTAAGGGTATTTTTCCTAAGTGGCTTGAAGCTAGAGAAATCAGAAGTCCTATTCTTGTCCCTATACTTAGAAAACAGACAATCTGATTATGCCTAGAGTTGTCAAAATGTGGAGGCAATGTGTGAAGAAACTAAATATGCTCATCTTTCAGAGGGAGATCTACTGAGAAGAACATGCATAAGTGCAGCCGAAGAACTGGGTCAGCCTCCCACCAGGCCGGCCCAAATAAAGCAGCGAGAAACAAGCTGTTCAGCCTCCTCTGCTTGGAGGCCCAAGGGCTCTGCACTTGAAAAGATCCACAGAACCACCCGAAGCCCTAAGCACCACATCATCCCCCAAGTACCCTGCACCGGGTTGGGCCCAAAGCGTCCCCAGGAATCTCGGGGCCCAGGCCAGTACTCCAGAGCTTCAAGGAGTCAAACCAGGTAAGTCCGGATGCAGAGGACTGCCTCGAACAGGGAGGCCACGCAAACATCTCCTGGCTTCCTGTGCCTGCGTCCCTCTGCCTGAGGATACTACGTGCATCGCTTTAATATTCATACCACTTTTTACAGACAACATTAGCTTCACTTTCCAAACTCCCATTTGCTTCCCCATATTTCAGGCTCTCATGAAAGGATGTTTCCTTCTAAATTCATGAGAAGGGAAGGCAAAATCTTCTGGGCATTCCGTCCTAGACATCTCAATCTGAAAGATGTTCAGAGACTTCATCAGACCAAGGGAAAGACCTAGGTGGGCAAGGCAGAGCCTCTCGTATGTGACTTGGCGCCCGGGGTAGGGAGGCCTAACCGTCAGTCTAGGCCCCCCGAGAGGGAACATCACTGGCTCTGAGATCCTCTGGAGCCAATAGACTCATAGAGGGAGAGGAGATGGGCATGGGGCTCGATGGGAAGATGGCAGGAAAGGCTATGGGGCTGGGCATCAGTGAAGATGGCAGACAACCGACAAAGGGTGGGTCCCAGGCCCCAGCTGAGGACGGCCTGGCTTAGGGAGCCTGTTACTTCCCCTCCCCTCCAAACATGCTGCCCCGAAGAGCTTAAAAGGGAAGCATTTTCTTGGTTAAGTTCAAAATCACTGTTCAACACACTTCCTCATAATTTCTGGTACCGATGAAGAATGTGTGTTCATGAGGTCCCGTATCACTGCCATGCATACTAAGCAGGCCAGCTCTGTCTATTCAGTTTTCACTTCATTAGCAAGAGGGGTGTGTGTGTGTGTGTGTGTGTGTGTGTGTGTGTCCTTCCCCTCACTCTTCCTGAACTTTGCCCCATTTTGTAGATGACCGAACCTATACCAGTGACACAGGGCAAGAAAGAAAGCCCATTTATAAACCATCCTGGTATATGCTGCTCTTCTTTTTGAACCGGCAGCTAAAATGATATCTGTGGATCTGATTAGGTCTGCTTTGCCCCGTGACCACACATAAACCCAAACTGGTTGCATTTCTGGGAAGTAAAGTTTGTTCTCCGCCTTCTCTTAAGGCACCTCAATCCTTAGTGACCAGCAGGCTCCTTGATGATTAGTCAGGGGTGGGGCCCAGGCCTGACTCTATCAAGTGGGGAGAATTCCCAGACCCCTGCCCACTGTCTAATTCTGCCTCCCACACATGGATGCGCTGATCTCTGCGGTAATTTCCCCGTCATCATGGCCTTTCTCACGGGGTTTATTTTGTAATATTTCATGATCTCAATGCTGTTTTCTCCAGGTTGTCCGTAATGTTCTCGAAATCTGAAACTCCAAACTGGAATGCAGAGTCCAGTACAGACTCAGGCAGCCTGGGGCAGGACCACCTCCCTCCTACTTCCTGCGGGGTCTTCTTTCCTCTGTAGATACCACCGTCCCAGCTGCTGTCCGAGCACAGGCTGACCTCGCAGCCTGCAGAGCAGCTGCTGACTCATGCTTACTCTGGGGTCTCCTAGAACCCCGGCTCTTCTTCAGCCCTTCAGCCAGGACAGCCCCACCCGTCCGGTCCCATTGAGAACTCTGCCCATCACCTGCGGGGAAGTTGGGGGGGGGGACTCAGCTCTGATGAGAAGTCTCCCACTAGCCCTCCGCCTCACCTGGCCCCGCCCCCGCCCGGGCCCACCTGGAAGACGTCGTTGGCGCACTTGCGGGCACAGGTTGTGCTGGCAGGGCAGGATCACCACCGGCTTGGAGAACATCTCCAGGCAGATGGGGCAGATGAGCTGCTTCTCCAGGTTGTCCATGCTGTGTGCATCCCCTAGCAGCGGCTTGAAACCCACTGCGAAGTTCATCCCCTCAGTGATGGTGCCGCCCTCGGCCTTGGCCCGGACCTGGCCTTGCCTCGCTGCCTCTGGACCCCTCCTCCCTCACTCCGTCTGCGGATCCTTCTGCTCCCTCCGAGGCTCCCTCTGGAACTAGCTCTGCTCTCGCCCCTGTCCCTTCCTCTGACAATATGCCGCGTCCTTAGCTGTTTTCAGACCCGTCTCCTCTCTCTCCTCTTTGCTCTGTGCCGCAGCCACGCAACAGGCAGCTTTCTCCAGCCCTCACTCCCTGAGCAGTTGCCCCTGGAAATTTCTCCTTTTCTTCCCCAAACGACTCCTGTTCACGCTACAGGCAGCACTGTGTCCCTCACTCCCCAGAGAGCAGATTAACTTTAAGGTGGGGGTGGGGAGCAAGGGGCCTCTGTGTGACATTCCAGCTCCCAATTTAGCTCCTGTAAGGCGAGCCACAGCTGTCACCGAACGAACGAGTGACCCTGACTCATTCAGGAATGGGTGACTCTTGGGCAAGAGCAGGGGTGAGCGTCACCGCTTATGGGGAAAGGTGGGCCGGCAAAGGTACCGAGAGCGCACTTGCTCTCACTCAGAAGCCCCCGTGAGCCCCTGGGCCCCGCACAGCTCTGGCTTGGGCCCTGCTTCCAGGGCATGACAGAGTCTCAGTCGGCCTGCTGGAGAGGGACCACCCATGGCTCAGGGAGGGAGGGCTGATCTTAGTAGACCGACTGACAGCCGGTGAGAATGTCTGTCTCCCCGGCTTAGCCAGCAACCCTGGCCTGCTTCCTCTGAGCCCCACGATTCAGAACAGCAGCACCTGAGACCAGAGAGGCTCTGGTCCAACACTTCTGGTCCACGTTGTAATCCTTGCCCGAGGATATTTTTCCCCCCACTGATTTTTAGAGAGAGTGGAAGGGAAGGGGAGAGACAGAGAGAGAGAAACATTGATGTGAGAGAGACCCATCGACTGGTTGCCTCGCGCACACGCCCTGACCGGGGCCAGGGATGGAGCCTGCAACTGAGGTACGTGTGCCTGACCGGAATCAGACCCGGGATCCTTCAGACCATGGGCCGATGCGCTAACCACTGAGCAAGTCGGCCAGAGCTGGTCCACTTTTGTTCTTGCCCAAAGCTTTCTTACATCGCCCTAGGAAAAGCTCTGGAGGCTAGAGCTGGCAGTGGTGCCAGGGCCTAGAACGACCTCATGAGCTTGCCCCCGAGAAAGGATGGCGTTCTGACCCATGAACACATCACTGGAGCCACTCCAAGGACTTGATATTTGTTGGGAAATTGAGAGAAGCTGAGCTGGGCAGAAAGGACCCGAGTGCCAGGGACCTATTTTGAGCACCAGGGGAATCGGCCTCCAGGGAAACTTTAGAGCTGACAAAGTCATGGTCACACGGCCCCGGGAGGCCTGGGCCCCAGCTCCACAGAGTCCTGGGCGCCCCTCTCCAGGGCGACGGCTCTCAGCCATGAGCACCGGTCCTCACAGGCCTCTCTCTCCACCCTAGGCACAGCTGGTCTTTTTTGGGCCCCACATATGCACTGGAATTGGACAAAAGCTCTTTTATTTACTGACATTCTTCAGCCCTTCTCCCAGTCAGGACAGACAAGTATGAGGACGTACAAAACTCTGACCCTGGTGGACGGGAAATAAATGCTGGGGAGAGGATACCAAACAGGTTGTGTGAAGAGGCCCGAGTGGGAAAAGGGTCTGTGAACATACAATCATTTCCCTACCGTGGGTTTCATGCCTCTGTTTTGAAAACAGCCTGCATCAGAGGTGGTGAAAGAACGGAGGCAAACAGGCACCGATTGAGAACGTCAGGCAACCCCAGGGCCCATGCTGATGGGGCGATGCTGGCAGCTGCAGCCCAGGGACAACCCACAAGCGGGAGAACTACCCCTGAGCCTCCCTCGGCTGACGCGTGGTGGCATGGAATGAGGTTGGTGATGCTAGGGGTATGGACACCAGAAGAAGGTGCGGCCGGTCCCACCCGGAAAGGGGTTCTGGCTTAGGAATGAGTCTGATGCTAAGAGTCCTTGGTGCAGAGTTGCAACAAAGGAGGATTAATGGTACCACAGCTCTGGGACTGGATCCACTCTGCTCAGCTTTCAGGATTGGGTGGAGATATCACAAGTGACTCAGGGACCCTACTCAGCTGACATGGGCTCAAATCCCAAAGGAGGCGTGGGGAAAAGGATGCTGGGGAGAAGTCTATCACCACCGCCTGAGATCTCTCCAGGGTAGGGCTGGGGGTGTGTGTGCCTGCTCTCTAACATTAAAATTGGGACCGGAGCTAAAAAAGAAGAGTCGCTGGGCGCCCTGTATGGCAAGGGTCAGTGACGCCGTCAGGGGCAGAGACTGCATCCTCACTGGGATGGACGCCATCAGTGCTTCTCGAGTTGGGATTCTTACAAGAAGAGGGGCAATTCAGGGTCAATGTCAGGACAGGGCTACTTGCTCCTCTCTTCGATGTGTCCAGTGGACTGGGCAGCAGACGTCACCTTCATTGGGTCAGCACCTAAGGAGAGAAGTTGACGTCTTATTACCTAGAAGGAATGAGCACCCAGATTGTAAAGCAAGCCCCCTATAGGTCAAGCTATAAACATTTATAGTTCATATTTTAGGGCTATAAACTTTCCATTAAAGACACATCTAAAATTAGTGTATATTCTTTTCTTTTTTTTAAATCTATTTTTATTGACTTCTGAGAGGGAGAGGGAGAGGGAGAGAGAGATAGAGATAGAAACATCAACGATGAGAGAGAATCATTGATCGGCTGCCTCCCCCCCCCCCCGCCCCCACTGGGAATCGAGCCCGCAACCTAGGCATGTGCCTTGACCAGGAATCGAACCGTGACCTCCTGGTTCATAGGCTGACGCTCAACCACAGAGCCACACCAGCCGGGCTGTATATTTTTTCCTTATCCTTTAGTTATCGCTGCATTTCAGTTTTCATACCCCACTCTTCTTCATCTTTTAATTATCTTCGCTATCATTTTCTTCCGATCTTCTAAAAGTTGCTTTTTTTCCTATGATGGAATTTGAAAAACACATATGTAAACAGGAACAATTTTTTCAGCCTACTGGTGAGAAAACTGTTGCCTTGCAGTTACACATGAGCATCATTAGGTGGCACCGGTGTGGATTCCAGTCGACTCACACTTGGAAGTTTAACTAGTTGGAGTGGGGATCATCTCAGACACTTCATCTTCCTTTGAATAGACGACATCCTCTAACTTGTCTTCAACTACTACCTTTTCTAGGCACACCCTCCCACCCATTTCTTAACTTAACTCCCACCATTCCTTAGCGTACCTGTCCAGAGGCCAGCGTTACATCCAAACTGTCAGCGTGTAGCATAAGCCCTTCAGAAAACAAGTGTCTCCCCTCCCCTCTCTTCACTTTGCCCCAATACCGACTTGAGACCCTCCTATTTATGGTTCACAGCTTCATCCCAACCACTCTTCCCGTTCCTAACCCAGCTCTGACCTGGTCCCTGTCCGTGGTTCTCACTCGCTTGCCCAGGCTGGGTCTGGACGTTCTGCTCGTATTTTCTCCTCGCTATGTCCTCGGGGGGCGGCTTTAGTGTCCCACAGCAAAAGCAGCAGCAACAGCAGCAGCAGCAACAGGTGAGCAGAACACACAGCATGACAAGTGTCTAAAAGGTGGGGAAGGATGACCTCAGTCCACGTAGCCATTCCAGCTCCCCTCCCACATCCTCCGAGCACCCAGAAAATGAGACAAAAAGCATTTGTTCCCGGAGAGGAGGGGCGGTGCCCTTGGTGAGGGGGTCACCCTTTCTTCCTTATTCTTAAGGGACTAGGACGGTGATGGCGAACCTTTTGAGCTCGGCGTGTCAGCATTTTGAAAAACCCTAACTTAACTCTGGTGCCGTGTCACATATAGAAATTTTTTGATATTTGCAACCATAGTAAAACAAAGACTTATATTTTTGATATTTATTTTATATATTTAAATGCCATTTAACAAAGAAAAATCAACCAAAAAAATGAGTTCGCGTGTCACCTCTGACACGCGTGTCATAGGTTCGCCATCACTGGTCTAGGAAGACTTGTGTACCTTGAACCAACAACTGTTCATCATAAAATAGTATCTGACGCCGTCTTCACCAAAGTGATCGTATAAATACAACCCCAACGAGCCATGCCGGTCGTAGATTTTCCGCTTCTTTTCATCACTCAGTACAGAGTGGGCTGTGTTGATCTCTTTGAATATTTCTGCTGCTTGAGCATTCCCTGGATTCTTGTCTGGGTGATACTTCAAGGCCAGTCTCCTACCAAGGCAATATCCAGAAGGGGGGTGGGGAGAGAACAGGGAGTAGCTGGGGAGGGAGGGGTAGGATGAAAGACAGGGATAGGTTTCTAGATAGTGACGAAGGAACACCTCAATTGTCCGATATTAGACGTGGTACAAAGAATGGAGGCAAGCAGGCCAAGTCTAAATTCCTTCCAACGCCACACTGAAGAGGATGGTGGCCCCACCCAGCCCCAAAGTGTTTTGTGTTTTTTTTTTTAAATGGGCCAGAGAGCAAAGTAGAAAGACATGGGTCTAAGGGGGTTAAAGGGCTTCATGAGAGGCTGAGGTCTGAACCTGTAGGCCTTTTTGATTTCATCAGGTGAGGCGCCCTTCTTGAGCTCCAGCACTGCGTAGAGGCTCGTACCGGTCTTGGACAGCCGGCGGGCTGCTTCGTCCACGTGAGTCATGATCTGGTCAAGTGAGAACGGCCACAGGCCAGGCTGCAGAGAGGTGAACTCCCGGTGGCAGGAAACACATTGCCTTCAGGGGCTAGGCGGGCAACTGGCTACAAAGGGACACGCATAAGACAACGGTGAGTGGGAGCTGTGACTCGCAGGAGTGTGCCGGTTCCCAGAGAAGACATTCAAATTCCATTAAAAAAATTTTTAAAATATTAATTTGAGAGCTAGAGGGAGGGAGACAGATTGAGATGTGTTGTTCCACTTCTTTATGCATTCACTGGTTACTTCCTGCCTGTGTCCTCACTGGGGGCTGAACCCACAACGTTGGCATATCTGGAGGATGCTCTAACCGACCGAGCTGCCCGGCCAGGGCCAGATCCAAACTTTAGGGAGGAAACCTCTCACATCACCCGGTGTCCTCACATCACACGATGCAGACCTCCAGCCGCCCCACATCCTAGAGGAGGTCTCAACATGGGAGCAGACTGACTCCGCCCAGAGCTGCCGGGGCCTTAAGTAAACAGCCCTGGTCGTGCCCACACTCCTTGCTGGTGTGAGAGACCCTGGCAGCCTCAGCCCCGAGCGGACGGGGTCAGGAGTCTGCCCAGCACAGTGTCTGCGGGAGACACTGCGGATCACACCCTGGACACCAAGCCCGGCCCAGGGCAGCGCTCACAGCCAGGCCAGAGGCTGTATTCCTCCCTGGCCTCCCCTCTCACCGCCCCCACCCCTGCCCCTCGGAGACGGGGCAGCGAAACAAACCGAGGGCTGAAGCGGGAGTGAAAGGGGGCAGCTGTAGGGCCGGGGTAGCTGTAGGGCCCGGCCAGCGACCAGCAAGGGGACAGGGAGTAAGGCCCGGGGAATGGGGAGAGCCTGCGAGGACGTGGCCCAGGAGAACCAGGGCAACCAGCTCGGCAGGGAGCGCTCCGGCTCCCCAGGCCCCTCTGCTGGGTGGACTCCCCGCCGGACCGGACCGGACCGGACCGGGCTCTACCTCCTTCCAGCCAGCGGGGCCGGCCTTCCACACCCTCCGCCAGGGCGTGAACCCTCACACCGCGGGGCCAGTGGCCCTCTGCGCCTGCGCACTGTGTCAACACTCGGGGTCGTTTTTTGGCGCCACCGGAAGGTCTGGGAGGCGAGGCTGAGCGAGCCCCGGGACTTATTTCGCTCGCGGGAAACCTGAGCGTAGGGATACGCCCGGCGCCTGCAGACCAGGGCCGCGTGGGCATCTTCTGCAGCCCCTGCCGCGGGCAGCTCTTCTCCGCCGGGAGGGAACCACCTCGCTGGTCACCGTCCTGGCTCGTGGACTCACTTAAAGAAAGATAATGGGCTTGCAGGAGGGGCTGTGTGAGCAGTATGGTTACTGCACGCCTTCCTCAAGGCGGGTATTACCTTCCCAGTCTTCTTTTTCACCTTGTCTTTCCCTTCCACGTGGAAACCGGTGCACGTCCTTTAAGACTCACCTCAAATGTCAGTATTCCTGGGAATCCTTCCTTCATTCCCCAGCCCAGTTATTCCCACCTTGCCCTGTCAAAGCATGTATCCTATTATATTGTAATTATTAGTTCGCACATTCCTTTTTAAAAACAATATCTTGAACATTTCCAGAAGTTACTACTGTTCTTCAAAAACTTCCTTTAAATACTATGACATCATGCATATGTACCATAACGTAAAAGTATAATCCAGATCGGATAATGAAGATGTTTCTAATCATTCAATAGTATAATAACCTTGTGATGAAAATTCTTACCTTACCTATCAATCTTTAAAGAAATCTCCCTTTTTCCCCTTGGAGTAGAAAGTGAAATTTTTTGAGGTCCTTGACCCATATTACTAACTCTCTTCCCAGGAAGGAACCAAAAGTACCAGTTTACATCCCTACCTAGAGGACATGAGAGCACCCATCTCTACCTGGCCTCACTTCAGTGATCCCCTACAGCAGTGGTTCCCAAACTTATTTGGCCTACTGCACCCTTTCCAGAAAAAAATATTACTCAGCGCTCCCTGGAAATTAATTTTTTAAAATTTTAATAGCAATTAAACAGAAAGATATATGTATTAATGTTTCTACCTTTTTCGTAAAATATAGTAAAGAAAGGTGTAAATTAGAAACATTGAAGTTTGAAATTATGAAACTATTTATTGAACTCAGAATAGAAAGGTAATACAAAAAAAGTTAAAACAAATGCACCTGTGGCCATCACCGCCCCCCTGGATCGCTGCAGCGCCCACCAGGGGGCGGTAGCGCCCACTTTGGGAATCACTGCCCTACAGGAAGTAGTGTTTGCAGCATTAATAATTTACTGCGTCATATTGGAGAGGAAAACTCAATGGTTCCTATAACATGTAATTGAAAGAGCTTTACTAATTCAATAATACATCTCTGTTACCCCCTCTTGTGGTTTTTACCATTCTCTTTTCTTTAATACAGTTATATGTGCACATTTATCTTCCCTTTTAGGTTTTAAGTGATAAATCAATACTCTACCCCAAGAGCTATGAGCCATCTGAGCAAACTAGCTAAGGAGTCCATATGTTATAGGCACAATGACCACTGAACTAACGAATTTATTTCTGTAGGTTTGTGATCAGGATGGGGGTGGATATCTATAGGTCTGTGATCAGGGTGCGGATTAAAATATTTGGCATCACCCACCCAGCTCATAGGTTCTGGGTCAGATGAATTTAGAGGGTAGTGACCTAGAGTGAAGGAACTAAAGCTGACACATTTTTTGGTGGTTGGGACTATGCCAGATTTCTCTGACTAACCTCCAACCTTTTATCACCATCAGGGGAAGACAGAAATAGCAGAACAATATAATCATTTCTTCGCTAGCACTGGGAGGAGGGAAGAAGGCATCAGAAGTGCAGTGCACTCAGCAAGTTCCTCACCTCGATCTACAGGCCCAATGTGGTCCTGCCCCTGCCCCTCACTCCCACACTTTTCCGTCAGTTCTTTGGAGACACCCAGTTCTCTTCCATTTCAAGGGCCGTTGGCTATGCTGCTCCCTCTGTCTGGAGGACTCCTCTCTGGACTGTTCCCTATGCCAACTTTTCATCTTTTGTGGATCTCAGCTTCCTGCCTCCTCAGAGAGGCCTTCTAAATGGAATTCCACTCTTCTCTCCCCACTTCATAATATCCTCACCATGGTTTGTGAATAGATGTTTATTTGCATGTTGATTTGTTTAACGTCTGTCTTTCCCAGTAGGCAGTGAACTCCATGAAGGCAGGGACCTTGTCTGTTCACCATTGTATCCCCAGCACCTGGAACCAGGCCTGGCTCACAATAAGTTAATTCACGATTTGTTGAATGAGCTACAGCAGAGGGAGCCCTCTGCTGGTCCAGTGTAGACTCAGAGGTCAGCCCATAGCAAGGGGCAAAGAGAAAAGGGCAGTAGGGGAGATGGTAATGGTGATTCTGAGCTTCTTGTTTCTTGTTTGTGTTAGTCTTCGTCTAGTTCCTAACACAGTTCCTAGAATGTTTTGGTGCTCAATAAATGTTGGTTGGTTGAATGAACCAGCAAACTTTTGGGTGCCTGTTCAGAGGTACTTTTACCCAATTATCTCTGATTCTCACAACAACCTTATATGATCATGTCCCTGCTTTATAGAAATAAGTGCCGAGAAAGAGGGCAAATTGGGTGCTGAGTAAATATCTTTCACATCTTGCCAGAGGCTCCAGAAGGTAATTACTTCTTATCATTACCCCCTGACATTCTAATTAATTCTAATTATAGTTCGTGGCTCTTGAAATAGCCATTATCTTTAAGTTTCTGAGCCTCTGTTCTGACTGAAATGACACTACAGCCAGCAGGCTGCAGAGATGGGAATAGAGCAGGCAAGTCATCCTGGCACCCTTTGGCCGCAGGTTCTCCACTTCGCCTTCACCTAGAAACAGACCCTCTTTGGCTCTGTTTCCTGCACGTTGTATCTTCTAACACCCAGTACAGAAGGAAGAACACACCAGCCAGGAGACAGAAGCCCTAGTTCTGAGTTCTCACTATCTTTCTAACAAGCTGTGTCGTATGGAACAAGTCACTTAATCTGAGACTCATTTTCCTCTTTTATTATTATTACTAGAGGCTCGATGCACAAAATTCGTGCATGGGTAGGGTCCCTAGGCCTGGCTGGCGATCAGGGCCGATCTGTGGGGCGACCTGTGGGGTGATTAGGGCCCCCTGCTGGCACCGGCCTTGGCTGGCCTGGGACCTGCGGGCTAGGGGCAGCTCCTGCGTTGAGTGTCTGCCCCCTGGTGGTCAGTGTGCATCATAGTGACTTGTCGTTCCACTGTTTGGTTGATTAGCATATTAGGCTTTTATTATATAGGATTATTTTAAAAAATATTTTTATTGATTTCAGAGAGAGAGGGAGAAATAGAAACATCAATGATGAGAGAGAATCATCGATCAGCAGCCTCCAGCATGCCCCCTGCTGGGGATCAAGCCTGAAACCCAGGCACGTGCCCTTAACGGGAATCAAACCTGGGACCCCTCAGTCTTCAGGCCAACACTCTACCCACTGAGCCAAACCTGCCAGGGCTCATTTTCCTCTTTTATATAAACCTGAGTCATTTCCAAGGTTGCTGTCAGTACTAAATTACATTTGGAGTAAAAAGGATGGGAAAATGAAAATAACTATGCTAAAGAATGAGCACAGACTAATATCTTTTCTGGGATTATTTGCCCTCTCACCATACCTTGAATCAGGAATCTTCGAGTTTACTACCTCACCGAGCCATTTGGTATCTTCTGGAGAAAACCAAGAAACATCCTTTATTTACCCACAAACAACGTTTTAGTCATATAGCTGGAATGTACACATACAGACAGCAGACATTGACATATTCATACCCAAAATATCATGCTCTCAAACATATGCAGTTGGAGAGAGAGACCATAATTTGTCATACCCAGGCACCAGGTTCTAGAATTCACAATGTTTAAGCTGGAAGGGACATTAGACTTAATTCTTATCCAAATGCCTTTATTTTGTAATTGAGGAAAGTATGACCCAGAGATAGGGACTGACCTGCTCAAGGTCAACCAGTGAGGTCCAGATCTAAGTCTTCTGACTTCAAGTTCAGGGTCTATACAGTGACTTCTCCTTATAGACACCAGCTCGCTCTCTCTCTCTCTCTCTCATTGATTTCAGAGAGGAAGGGAGAGGGTGAGAGTTTGAAACATCTGTGATGAGAGAGAATCATTGATCAGTTGCCTCCTGTATGCCCCCTACTGGGGATCAACTCCAAAACCCAGGCATGTGTTCCCACTGGAATCAAACCATGACGTTCAACCACTGAGCCACACTGGCCAGGCCACACCAGCTCTCTTTAAAAATCTAGGTTAGAGACAGACCAAAGCTGTAGTTGATATTCAGCTCCTTTCATGGATGATGTCAGGAAATGTCCCTCTCCTCCTCCCCCGCCCCCACAGGCATCTCAGGGTGGGAGGTGGAGGGCTTCCAGCTAGAAAGGCATCTCTTACCCGTGTCCTCTCTGCCCTGCAACCCCAGACTCTGCAGACCTAAGGGCAGGCTAACAGGGCACACCTGCCTCACCTGCAAAATGGAGATGGTGGTGTCTACCTCTTAGGGTTGTTAGGAGGCTTAAGTATTTAATTTGATCAGTGCTTGGCACATGGTAAGTGCTTTCTCATTTATCATCATCATCGTTTCTAATCTATCTCCTCTCAATTTTGTAAAGAGAGAAGTTACTTTTTATATGGTCTCTGGGAAGAAAGGAAAAACCAGGCTCCTTCCCTTAAGAAGATTTGCAAATTGTAATTGGCATCCTCCCATCCCCTTTCTGCACCCTTCTCAGCCTTGTAGATCCCCATTTTTTTATTCCCCTGACCAGTATCCACCTGCTGCTTTCTGGCTATTCAAAATATCTCCGACAGTCCTCCCCCAAGCAGTAAGAACTCCAAAATTACCTCTCTCACTGCCTCTCCTTCCAACATTTCTGATAAAAAAATA